CCTTTACTTAATGAGTGATGCTGGTGGCCCACTTCCATATTAATAAAAATCATATGCTAATTATTGTTTTGAGCCAGTTAATTTAAAACAAGTGTGCTAATAAGTGTTTATTTACGGTACTCAGCTGAGTCTAGAGCAAGCTCACAGGTCAAAGATATTCCATCCTCATTAGACAAAGATCTATCAAACTATGATGTGGCTACAGGGGTCAGTCACAACACACAACAAGCAGGGTGAAGCTGCTTCATGTTCCGGGTAGAAAGCTGCAATAAAGTTGAATGGCAGCTTATTCGCCTTGCTTATTCCTTAGTGGGCAAACAACCTAATGCATATATTTACATATGAAATGCAATAATTCATTCTATTGCTTTTTAACTGGATTTGTGTCTTTTGATCTACCTTCAACACTTTGTGGTGACGTTTGGCTAGTTTGTTGACCTCTGTCAAATTCATCTTTCGGGCTGTTTTAATGAGGCTTAATAGCATTTCTTTCATTTAAATATGTTGGTAGTGCATGTGAGCATGTGTCTACCACAGGTTTCAATGAATCCTTTGCATATATGCACTTATGGTGTATGTGCATTTGACTTTTATTTGACTGCAACAAGATTTTTCTTTCCTTTTATATATTTTCTCTAGTTTATAAACACATCTTATTGCATTTTATCTCACATATTACTTGTGTTTGTGACAAATACACTTTGAATGTACTGTAACACCTCCTGTACTGTATCTTTACAATACACATAACTACAATTAATTACACTTATTTAAAGTATGGATATGAATGATCGTACTGGCTCAACTGGTAAGGGCACACTGCTTCCTTGATTGCACTGAACGTTGGTAAATGCTGGGATGCAGAATTTTCCAATGTGAATTTAATTCAGAGAGCTATTGGGCTGGAGTAAACACATATGAATTCAAATCTGGTATTTCTGCCTCCACTATATTTGTCTCTGTCTAATGTCTTTGGATCTGTTAAATTATAAGTACAAAAGATCACATGAAACGAGATAGGAATACTCAGGTCAGAAGAGCACAGTTAGACCTACTTGTTAAGACCTGACTGACATCATCATCATCATTGAGGCCTCAGATATATCAGATATAAACTATTATTCAAATAACTGACAGCTTAGAATGCATTTTATGGTGCATACAAGTAAAATGTTGAGGCTAGTGTATTTTCAAACGTGATTATGGTAATCACCATTGTTGCTCTTAATTGCAGCACAAAGGCCAAAGTCTACAGAATTAGCAGCATGTTATTATAACAGTGATTATGGGAATTAACAGAGAATTACAATCAAGCTCTGATTGTTTTGCTGCGTGCTTTGTTCTGCCCGGTAGCTGCAGAATTAGTATGTACATCAAACGTTACCAACCGTTTGTGCGTTTCTGTTGTGCTATGCAAAAAATTGTTGAGTTTTGGTGAGATGCTTCTGTGTTTAGTGGTCGAACCTTCGAGCTTCACAGTCGTTGCGCGTTTGCATCTGCCTGCGTAAATGTGCAGAAAGAGAGAATGATGCAGTGAAATGGTGTTTGTAATACTGTTTTCCATAAAACTAATATGTGTGCAAGTATCGATGCATATTTGCTTTTGTATATGTGTGTATGAATTAGTGATGCTGCTAACAGCGGTATTAATGGTAATACGGAGCCTCAAAAAAAAAAACAAAGGCCACAAAGGGAGAAATAAAAGCCTTCAGAGAACAATCATTATGAGTACAAACACCAGTGTGTGCCAATCCTCTCGTCAGTTTCTCTGCATTATTCATTCAAGCAAAACAAATATTAACATATCAAATATTAGCACAGATTCCCCACGGGACATTCGTACCACTCCAGAACTAAAAAGGGCAATTCAATGCAACATTTGAAACTCGAGTTAAAGGAATGTGTTTATGTCAGTGCAGGAGAGGTACAGAGTGTTTCAACGGAAACCAGCAGGGAGATGATTTCACATGACATGGTTTGAACCTTGAGATCATTCACATTGTAGTACACACAGACACACATATTAAGATTCAAGTCATAGTAATAAATAAAATAATTAAATTGACATCCCTCATTAAGATGTTGAACTAAAACATGTTTTACTCTTTTTTTGAATGATTCTATGAAGGTTCCATGAATTACTGTAGTACCTTGTAGTGTTTTTATGCTCAAAGACCTTGATGTGTTTTATGTAATCCTCTACTGTCTTTGTCAGGCATGATGGGTAAAACCCCATCTTCAAACATCTAATTTCACATCTTCATAATTAATGTGTTACAATGGGATCAAACCTTTATATCTCTTTTGTGTGATTTCCAAACACTGAGGCATCAATTTGTTGAGGCACAGGTCAAGTCTCTTGAATCTGATAAAATCACTAATTAAGCAGGACACAACACAAAACGAGCTGTTCTGTAACACAAAAACAATCTGTGATGGTAGTTATGAAATACGTGCTGTCTTTTCTTTCATTGTATATCTCCGGCTCCACAGGGATTATTCTCTTAGTCTGCCGGCCTTTTGTTTCCTCAATCATCATCAGGAGACGCGAGGACAAAAAGAGGACATGATCTTTTACACCCTATTATTAAAACTGTACTGCCAGCATCCTACTACACTCAGGGGGGAAACAAATGCTTACAGTATTGATCCACAGCTGCATTAACTACTACATGACTGCAATCAAACTCTTAAATATAACTTTTAAAGCATTAAACAGAGCATGACTCTACAGATATTTATGATCCCCAGAGGATGAATCCTACTGACTTGGTGATCCTCTGACTTTCCCCCTCGATTTAATAGTAATAACTTTGCTAAATCTCTATCTTTTCATCTAATTATATTATCAGTTTGATTTATGATTAAATGCCTGCAAAACTAATGCCATTCCCATGAGCATCAGCTGTACTTTGTGGTTACAGCAAATTAGCATTTCTTAGCATGCTAACACGCTAAACTAAGGTGGTGAACGTGGTAAACATTATACCTGCTTAACCTCAGCATCTCAGCATTGTCACTGCAGCTATGTCAGCATGCTGATGTTAGCATGTTAGCTTGAAGCACCACTGTGCCTATAAGCATAGCCTCACAAAGCTGCTAGCACGGCTGTCGTCTTGTTTAGTCAGAAAGCTTATTAATTTCGGGCCCTGTGCATCTCGTAAAATTGAAAGAAGAACTTCACAGTGACCAATGTATAGAAATGAATTGTAAACAACTCTGTGTGAGAATAACCAAGTAGCACAGGAAAAACAAGCAGGTGATATGGGGATATGTAAATCTCTGCTTGTAAAACATTTATGGTCAGCATACTTTCTGTTTCCTGTCAATTTGAAAAGAAGTAAATTATACAACAGGAAGTGACACCTGTGTTTGGTGAGAGAATGGAGACGGCTGTGTTTATAGCAGAAACTAATTTAATCCCATGCGCAACTATAATCCAGCTAAATCACCTCTGGATATGAGATGCATTTTACTTTGTTGCCAGGTGTAGAGGGAACCTGTTGAGTCTGTCAATCTGTCTCCTCTTCTGCCTTCCCGATATGCCTGTCTCTCAGTCTGGCGACTACGTCTATCACATAGTCTTTCTCAGTTTCTCCTTTCCCCATCTGCCTCGGCTACATGGATCAAATCCTCAGGTTTAATTGTCTCCTGCCCTTTGGTCTTATCAGTGCTCCCAAACTGGCAGGGTGTCTCTGGGATTTGAGAAATTCTTTACCTTTTTAAAACATTCATTCATAGGGGCAATGTTTAAGCCACTCCGTAACATCCCCTGGACATCCGCAATATAGCTCAGCTTAACACATCATTTAATCCTTCCATTATGATAAGGATAACACAAAGAAGACGAACACAGAGTCACGAAAAGGAAAGAGAGAGGAGAAGAAGAAAGTGGAGGCGTGAAAGCGAGGGCTGGACCTGACATGTTAGTGGCTGCTGGTCCGATCCTCTTTCATAGCGGCGGTGTAATGTTTGACCCCAGTGGGAGAAAGAAAGAGGGCAATAAAGGGTTGGGGGGTGGTGGGGGTTGAGTGAGAGTGGGAGGACTAGTGCTTGACATGAGTTTGACCCCTTTCACAGAGTAATTGTCTGTGGCCTTTACTTACACAGAGACAGGGAGGTGGACGAGAATGTGATGGGAACAGGGAAAACAACAATACAGCAAGCTAGAATTACTGCCGTGTTGTCTGCCTCCGGCCACCAGTCACGTTGCAGTTTACATCCAAGTCTGTCCAAAATGTCAACACTTCAACATTCTATCTAATAAAGCAATTGTCATAATTAGCATATGCATTATTGAGTTATGGCCTTGCTGTTGCGAGGTCACAGTGATTTTCGACCACCCAATTCTCATCAATTCAACCTCGAGTGCAAGTAGACGTTACTGCCAAATTTGAAGAAGGATCAAGGCGTGGGCAGACCGGGCTGAGAAGGACCGGACGGACAGACAATCCAAAAATATAAAGCCTCTAACAGACAGCGAGAGAGATAGCTGAGCATGAGAGACAGTGTATCTCTAGATTATTATGCTGTGAACCTTAACTTTGTCCTCTTTTTACCGCTTTCATTGTAATGGCCCGTTCAGACCATCAGGCTGCTGGAGAACATGGAAATGAGATGAGATGAGATGAGGTGGAGGGAGAGAGGATGACATGCAGCAAAGGATCAGATGTCTGACCTGCTGATGTAAGGACTCGGCCTTGCTCCAAGACATGGCGACGACAAGCACAACACTCTTATCACATAACCCACTCGGTTTGAGTTCTCGAACACAACCGAAGAGTTTAGTCCCTGTTTTTAAAAGTACAAAACACACAGAGGTCAAATCAGTAAGAGAGAGTCGAGAGAGTTGGAGAGACAGCAGGGTCAACATTGATGTTTACAAAGAAGGAAAGACAGAGTAGAAGGAAGGAGAGGAAGCTGGAAAGCGGAGTGTAAAATAAAAAGGTAAGAAACAGAAACCCCTGAGACACGGAGGGTGAGAATACAGAGATGATAGCACAGAAAACGGCCTCGTGGTTCACGGCAAACTTAATTGATGCTAAGCAAGCATGCTGGAGTCGATAGGAGTCTGGCCTGAATCCATTCAACTGGGATTTATTAGCCAAGACATAAATACCACACACATGCACCATAATGGATATTGCTGTGGAAACAGGAAACTAAGAACGGGCAGGAACAAAAGATAGAGAAACAACAAAGTTAGATTCGATAAAAGGAAGGGGTATAGACAGAAATGAGGAGAATGTGGTTATTTATGACAAGTCAGGTGGAGTTTCACTCTCTTTCAAGCATGTACACAGATATAAACCTCTTTATAAAATGAGGTGACCTATAGATATTGTGCATTTGTACAACATAGTGTGCAAATAAAATATATAGATTGATGTTATCTCTACTTAGGCATTTTCACAGTGTAAAGCTGGGTCATGCTTATGACACCACCTCCCTGGTAAATGATCCCATATTTAATCCAACTCCAGGGGCAAGTCCCCTGATGGTGGCGATTCCGTTGACTGGAATTGTTTTCAGTTCGATATCTTGCTGGTATAAATGATGGAGTTACTATTGCTGAGAGCAGCAAGCCAATCGCAGAGGGTTGAGAGACGAGGTAGACGGAAGAGGAAGACGTGTAAAAAGGGAGAGGGGATGCAGGAAATTGGTGAGCAAAGAGGGATGAGATACAGCGAAGAAGAAAGACAGCGAGGCAAGAGGGAGATAGGCGATGGGCAAAGCAAGGAAAAGCATGAGGAAATGAGACCGAAAAAAAGATACAGCACAGTGGTGAGAGGGCCGACAGAGATCGAGAGAGAGAGTGAGAAACACGACGGCAGACGAATGAACAAGCACGCGAGGACGGAGGAGGAAGAGCGCTGAGAGGAGAAGACGTTGGCGGTGTGCAGATTCCTCCTCCGTTACATTCTGAAAAGAGAGAAACAAGGGATGCAAGGCAGAGATAAGAGGAAGTTGATTAAAGAGGCACTGCTCAAGAAAAGAGGCCCTGTATTTAGCATTCTCCTGGCAACGGTGAAGGCTTATTTTCATGTCCTAGTTTGTCAAAATGAGAGGGAGCCAGAGGGTACCGGCAGAGGAGACAACAGGCAAACGAGCACACAGAGATAGTTATGTTATGTGATTGAGACAGAGAGAGGGGGAACAAATGCAAAGCAGAGTCAGGGAGAGATAGAGAGAACGAGAGAGCACTTCATCTAATTACCAAACCCTTAGCATCGCTTCTCTGCCACACTTCAAGGGACAGAGTGTAAAATCACATTGTTACGCACAGATGTTGACAATTACATAAGAAAAGACCCTAAAATAAGAGATATGCTGCTGCTTTTTTTTTTTGTTTGCCTTGCCGGCATCTCATTTGCGATGACTATATTGAGTGCGGTGAAGCAGCGACATGGCTTCATCACAGGAAATCAGCACGATGTGTGGTCCTCAGCCTTGTTCTTATTAGACTTTGCAGACAGAGAGACAGTTGACAAGTTATTTGGATTAGCAACAGTCTTCAAGGAAATGTAACACCTCTACTTTTTCTCTCTCTTTTTAATTCAACATAGAAAGGAAACGTTTATGAACAGTCTGCAAACTGTTCTCTGCCAATGTTTTTACCCGCAGAGACTGACAGCTAGACTCACCAACCAGTTCTTGCGTCAGCCTAACTGAACCAAAAATCACCATCTTTCCCAGCCCATAACCGTACTTTTTAGCTGCCTGAGCCGAACATAAGGAGGATGCAGGACACAAACCCTGCTAGTCAAGGTCCTGGGCTTTTTCTGCCTACTCATCCACCCTGACACCTGTGCTGCAGTAAAAGGATGTCACAACATTGTGGGTAGAATATCACTTCTTTCTTCTATTCCCGCTTCTGTCCTTCGCCTCCTTTTTTGCTCATTCCCCTTCCCTCTCTTTCAAACCTCCCTCGCTTCCTCTCATCGCCTTCTCCCACTTCCCTCCTCTCCTAGCATTGTCTACCCTCCATACATTGCAGCAGCTCTCTTCTCCTTCCCTGCTGCTCTCTCCTATCCTCTTCACCTCCCCCCTGTGCCGCCTGTAGGTGGCATAGAGGCATGTAAATTGGCACAGAGTGCATGAGAGTGATCTGAAAACCCATTTCTGCTCTACAGCCGCCATGAGAGACTCAGCTGTCATATCCCCCCTGTTCCAGCACACTTTCACTCTTTTTTGCTTTGCATCATCCTCGCTCATCCTGTCCTCTCCTCACTCCAACGATCTAATTTCACTCTTTCTATCTCTCACCCCACTTTCACGATCTCCTCTCTCCCAAATACTTTCTCATTCTTTTCCCGCTTTTTCTTCTGCTCCGACATTCACTTTTTCGTATCTCCTTTGCTTGTTCGTCCATCATGTTGCTCCCTCCTTCTACTCTCTTACTCTCCTGCCCTGCCCTCTCCTCTTTGTGCCAGTTGTCAGATTATTCCATTGCCTCCCAGTGTGTATTAATAACACTGTGCCATGTGTACACACGGACAGGTAAAGGAGAAGTGGGGAAAGGGAGGATGGGGGTAGATTTGTGAAGGAAAAAAAACATTGAGGGGAGAGGAATTACCTGTATCCTACTGCAACGATTCAGCATTTCCACAGGACTAATAAAATAAAATAAGTCGTTTTATACTCTAATGTTTTCATACTAAGTAATTCCAGGTCAATTATCCTGTGTTGTTCTCATGATTGATGTTAAGCTACAGTCTGAAAAACACTTCCTGATAAAAGTTTCATTCAAGAAATGCATCAAGAAAAAGGTAAACATGGGACAGCTATCGACTTTACCGTAGCACTTTGTCATTCACATCTCCCTCTACCTCTTCTCTCCTCTCTCGCATTCTTAGCACCACTACCTACTTCTCACAGCCTCCTTGCTCCCTTATCTCCTTTTCCTTCAAAAGGCAGCACTGTGCTTACTTGTATGTTTTCCCCACTCTTCATGTGATTTCATCTTTCATCTCTCCATCCCCACCTTCTCTCCTCTCCCCTTCTCTCGTTCCTGTCCGCACACCTGCCCGTTCATTCGTTCACTCTCCTGCCACCTAATGGGGTGCTGTTGCTATGGTAACGCAGGACGAACACACTCCTCTCTTCTGTCTAATTCAAACACACTTTTGGGATGAATGGATGCCTTTGTTGCAAAAGCAAGTACATGATACAACTTCTAAAGAAAAGGGACAATGAAACACGACAACAAAAACACCACATTGATGAATCAAATGATGAATAATTAATGACAGAATTAAGTGGGATGGAAAGGGTACATAAATGCATGTACACAACATTTGCATATAGATTATACTCATACATACTATGATTAGACACACTGCACATCAGGTGTACAGGACTAGACCTCAAGGCATATATATACGTCTTGTTTCTGTATTTCACCCAGTAGATTACGGACTCTCTCACCCTCATTTCACATTGTTTCATAGAATTTGGAAATGTATTTCTATACATCTATTTTTGAGGGGGATATGTAACCAATGCTGTCAAATTTACATTGTTTTCATGCACTCTGTTTTCCATTAAAAAGTGTATCTGCTGAGCCAACATATGTTAACGGTTTTCCTTTCCTTGTTTTGGCTAAATTTATGGATACATATCTTTTGATAAGTAGGTAAGATTGTGATTAGTTGTAGATTTTTTTGTGGCTGTGGGTGAAACAAGCGGATTTAGCTGGTGTTTGTCAGCCAGCTGTTAGTGCATCCCGTTTATATGCTTAAGAGTCTGGTTGATTTCGGGGAAAACGGTTCTAGCGGCTTCATTCTCCTTTTCAGAAAAGGCAAGCACGCCATTTTGCTGCCAAACTATACATTTAACCCACCACTGCAAATGTGGATAAAACGTTATTCCCTAACTCAACCTTTCCTAATAATAGCAGTACCCGCGATTGTCTGGTCCCATGATTACACAGTGGTGGGTTAAATGAATAATGCCTTTATAATGAAGATTTCTTACAGCCATAATGAGCTTTTACAGTCAAGCCAATGTTTTGTGTGCATTTCTCTTTCACAGTGAAATGACAGACCTGCAAACACCATTAGTTGCATCTTTTTTTTCTGTCTCAATACAACAGAGAGGGGCAGAAGTCAACTGTGGTGTGGAGAAAGTAAAGTATATCCTTTTTTTCTTTATGAAAGCAATAAAAGCACTTGCTGTTCTTAACCCAAGTCAATTCACAAGTGCTTTAAACTTGTATTCATTCTTATGGCCATCAGGAGGCGACTCCACGGGTTATAAAAAGAAGTCTGATTGTATAGAAGTCCATGAGAAAGATGACCCTACTTCTAATTAGATTTATCACCTCAGTAAAAAATGTACCTTCATGAGCGTATGGTCTCAATTGGAAGTCTTCCTAAAAACAGCATGATGTTAATTTAACAAATAGTGGACCCATTTAGACTAAAATAGACAATAAAGCAAGGTAAGCTTTAGGGCGTGCCTAACTTGGGATCAACATGTGATCTGGAATACCCATTCCCATTTATTTTCATCCGTCAAGCATCTGACAGCAAAATTAAGAGATTTCTTTAGTTACCGGGCTTCAAGCATATCGCTCAAGCATCAAACATGTCATGGAGGATACAAGGATGTCAAGTAATATCAAAAATAATGCCACTGTTGAGATGAAAAGTCCCAGTAATCTGAAAATAACAGGAGTTTGTCGCTGGAAAGATTCTGATGTAGAAGCATTTTGTATGTAAATGATCTTCTTGTTGGCGCTACGGATGGCAGCCGTGGTGAACTGATGTACTGTTTGTAATTTAGAGGGA